TACAATGACAAACTAGTCAACCATATTTTAGCCCAGCATATTGAATGTATTTTGCCTCTGTTGTTAGTTAAGGGTTCAATGTGTCATATGAACCTACAAAATTGGGTTACTTGGACAAACCATATTTCAGATAACCATAGGGAAAAGAGCTGTGAATGATTTTGTTTAGAAAGTAAAAATGTATTCTTCGTGCTTGCAGAGAAACAATTTACATTAACCGTATCTGTTTAAGTACAAAAAACTGAATGCCCTCAATAGTACTAGAGTCCATTTCCAGTAATTAAACATCTTAGCAAGGTTTATAACTAAACTTCTTAAAATGAAGTTATTACCATAAATATTCACATGTTTGTAATTGTATGACTCCTACATCAGAAGCTGAGCATTTATCTGAACATTTTAAAGAGTTTCTATAACACGAGAAAGGTTGGAGTAGAAGAAATAGAAACTGGAATTAAATCTGTTGAGAGAAGTAACCACAACTTCAGATAATGATTTGATAACAAAGTGAACAAGAAAGAAATGCCTTTTAAAGCAGAAAAAAGGACAAAGTCCTACTTCCTGCTCAACATATGAAAATACTGTAAACCCCAATAATATAATGTACATGTACATCCAACGTAAATAGGCAGACAAAAAATTGAAATAATATAGCAAAAGACTTTTTCTGGATCAAAAAATACATGGGGAGGACTGTAGTCATGGAGTAAAAAGATGTCTGGTGCAGAAACATTTTGACAAAGAAGGTACATATTGTCAAAGCTATGATTTTCCTACCTATTACATACGGCTATGAAAACCAGCCTTCAGAAAAGTTGAATAAAGAATAATTAATTCCTTTGAACTGTGGTACTGCTCAAAATGGTTGAGGAAACTTTGGATACTTTAGAACAGGGGTCCCGAACCCTCAGTCTGTGGACCAGCACCAGGCCGTGGCATGTCAGAAACCAGGCCGCACAAACAAGCACGGCTCCTAAGGTCCCTTCCAACTCTGATTATCTGTTATCTGTTATCTACTACAGGATGCAGGTAGCATGCGAAACCACACCCCTCTCTTTGGGTCCCTGGTGCCCAAAAGGTTCCTGGGGCCACTGCTTTAGAACACAAGAACTCAAGACTAGGCAGAAAAACCAGATGGCTCACTGAAAGTATTAATAATAAAGCTAAAGCTTATTTGGAACATATTATGCATAGGCAAGAATTGTTGGAGAAGCCCTTAATGCTTGAAAAATTGAAAATGAAGCTGGCAGAAGACAAGGTGGCTAAACCATCACGCTTATAACGAGAGCATTGGTTTAAAATAACTCACAAGAGCAGTTATTCACAGATAACCTTGGCAAAATATCCTTTGGGTCACAATGGGGCAGGAGTGGGCTGGATGACTAAGCCATTTAATAATTACTGAAGCAGTAAGATGATTGCTTCAAATAGGGCTGGAGTTGTATTAAAATAATTGTAATATGTTAATTAAGATACAAAATAGTAAAAGAGATGTATTGTATGATATATAAATATATAAATGAATGAATGAATGATAACATTCTTATTATATATAATTCAAAGTTTCCTGTCCTCTTGGATTCTTTCAATTCTCTCTCTCTCCCCCTCCCTCTCTCTTCATGGTAGTTTGTCAAAGGATAAATCAACATCACTTTCCAATATAACTGTTTGCTTTCTGCAGCATGATTCAGACTCAGGTGCTGTGAATTTTAAGATTAGGAAAGAAAGTCTAACTAGGACAGACAGCAACTATCCATAGCATACTAAAAATAGGTGGAATGCTGCTTTACCTGCAGTAAAAAGTAGTTGAGTCTTACAGACGAATCATCATCATCTGAGCATTTCTGGTGAATTGCCAAAACCTGCATGCCTGTAGAATGATTTATTTATTTGGAACCACCACTGAACTAATCAGCAGAGTTATTAATTAATACAAATCTGCATTTTTGCAGAAGCAATTAGCGCAAGGAGAAGGTGCAGTGGGAGGGGGGGGGAGGAAGTTGGGTTGTTTAATCTCAGCAACTATTCAAGCGGAAAAGCCCACTAGGGCAAGAGTGAGGCCTAGCCACATTTGGAGTATCCTTCTTTTCATTAGTTACAGAAATATAAAGGTCAGATTATCAATATTTAATGCAAATGGGAATGAGTTTATTAAAGAGGAAGTGCCAGAAAGGTTGAGGGGGGAGACACATCATACACAATACTTTTATTTATTGAAAGAAAGTAAAGTAAATAACTGTATCAAAAATAATGACATGGTCCAACTATAAATCTTGTCTGATGGTATTACAAACCTAGCAAAAGAACAGTAGGAAGATATAGAAGAAAAGAGGTCTGTTTGGTTCTGGTAAGACAATTGTTTGCCTTGCATTCTTTTATTTATTTATACATATACATATACATATACATATACATATACATATACATATACATATACAGATGAACACTATACAGAAGCCTGATGGCAGATGAGATTCTGCCAAAACGTTGCTACAACTTTAAAAGCACAACTACAATGACGTGGGAAAATACCCAAACAAAGCTAAATACCATACATATACATACATACATACATACATACATACATACATGTTTTCTTAAGTTTTCGCGGGTACTTACATGTATGGTTTTGGCACCAAAACCCTAGCCACTATAGAAAACCCCAGCCACAGAATTATCAGAGAAGCCATAGAGATTGAAAAAAGACCTGAAAGCATGAATAGAAGAGATAACTCCACCAGACTGTCAATTATCTGGAAGCCTGCACTCACAAACAAACAAATCTCCACACCACAAGCCAGGCAAACACCTGGGCACAAACAAATCCCCCCTGATACCTCCAGCTCAAACACACCCCAACCAGGCACCCAGATGAAACTTAGCTTCCTAATAAATGATAGCCCTCCGTTTACTCGGAGCCAAGCCACACTAAAAGCCTCCAATACAGCAAACACAATGTTGCCAGCCAATCAAGACAAAAAAAGCCACAAAACAGACAGAAGATATTAGAAACACCAATCAAGCAGAACACAGCAAACTCCAACACCAATTAATACAGACCAAGACTCCCAACCAATCAGGATGAAGAAAAAAACATTCTGGCACAGCAGTAGGCTAGCCCCAAATTAAAAACAGAAATGGCTGTGAAAGTCTGACTTACAGACGAACACAATACAGAAGCCTGATGATGGCAGATGAGATTCTGCCAAAACGTTGCTACAACTTTAAAAGCACAACTATAATGACGTGGAAAAATACCCGAACAAAGCTGAATACCATACATGAAAGTACCTGCGAAAACTTAAGAATCTATCTATCTATCTATCTATCTATCTATCTATCTATCTATCTATCTATACACATACATACATATATATGTATACACACACACACACACATACAATACCCGAACAATATGTATGTATGTATGTATGTAT